TTCGGTCAAGTTTGAGAGTCATCATGTATGAACGCCTAAAAACTTACTGGAAGTTATCATATTAAGTTGGTGTAGGAATTAAAGTTTGGGAGATTATTTGTAATATGAATAGCATTGTGATAATCACCCAAATTGTTGCCACAATGACTTTATAAACAACTTGATTATTCATAGTTAGGTTTCATTCTTTGGAATGTCTTATTTGTATTTTAAATTTGCAAACATGCTGCTGAACTGAAAGAGATTATGGTTCTGACATTGCTATGTTTTGAGTATGATGATTCCATTCGTTATTTCCTAAATGACGTCCCCTGCGCGAAATAAAAGTCCATGTCCTTTTGAGTATTCTGCAAAAATTGTCAACCATTTCAAATGGTAAAGCTAAGGAGTTAAATTTTTGGCTAATTTCCTTGCTTTGCTCTGTTCAAATTTATTACTTGATCCACATTAAATTCCATAATCTATGCCCTTTCACAACAACCTCAAATTTAGGAAATTCTTTTAAAATTATTAACACTCGTAGTTTGTTGTAGGCGCGATTAATAAATTATTGTGGTCATGAGTACGGTTCACGTGGCATGGTCACAATACATAATTCTCAATTCGGGTGTGCATTTCATGTGACCCGACCATAACTTCGAATACTAATAAAAATAAGCATGTCGTCAATCGCAGGTGCATTTCATGTGGCGCGGTTTGCGACGTGTGCCAAAATGACAAGTGTACGATATCGTGACTTGTTCCAGAAATAATTCCATAAATAATTAAAAGAGGTCTAGAAGATAAAAATGCACACTAGGTTTTAAAATATGTATTAAATCAGATAATTAGGCCAATTATTAATAGTTGAGCGACCGTGCTAAAACCACGGAACTCGGGAGTGCCTCACACCTTCTCCCGAGTTAACAGAATTCCTTACCCGGTCTTCTGTGTTCGCAGACCATAAATAGAGTCAAATTTCCTCGATTTGGGATTTAAAATAAACCGGTGACTTGGGAGACCATAAATTATCCCAAGTGGCGACTCTGAAATAAATAAATAATCCCAATTTCGATTAATGTCACTTAAATTGGAAAAAATCCCCTATCCCCCTCGGAAAAAAGGAAGTGTGACAATAATAATAGTAATAACAATAGGAAAATACAAAAGTATGGCAAACTTAACCTAAATTCTATATTTGGACGTATGAACTAAAGAAAACACTCAATATTTCTTCTATTTTAAAGTATTAAACTTAGTCTTAAAACAAAGCTAATGTAAATTAAATATTTTAAAAATCTAGAAAACAATACTAATTAGCTAAAAAAATAAAGAAAAACTATTTTTGTAGTTTTTAAGATAAAATAAAGCAAAAAGGTTAAAATAGCCAAAAGGTGTGGTGAATAATAAAATTCTTTTTTCCTAACTAAAGGTCTCGAGTTTGACCTTGAGAATAAAATCACAATTGATAATGAATGTTAATTACAAGAGTGAGTTGCTCTAGTGGTAAACACCCTCCACTTCCAACCAAGAGGTTGTGAGTTCGAGTCACCCCAAGAGCAAGATGGGAAGTTTTTGGAGGGAGGGAGCCGAGGGAAGGTCTATCGAAAATTATACTGGGTTGTTATTGTTGATAATGAATGCTAAAACCCTATTTAGTGAACTTTCAATCGCATGAATCCGAATTTAGTTCTGGTAGTGGGTTTCAGACATCAATTGCTAATAAATACTACTACCTCCGCCCTAATTTATGTGACAAAGTTAAAATTTTGAGAGTCAATCAAGTTTTTCTTTGACCGCAATTTTTTATATGCTTTTTAGATATTTTAAATTATTAATTATTATGACTTATGATATTTTTTACCTTAGTATCCAAGTATATAAAAATTCACGATCAAAATAAAAAAGTTGACTCTCGAAATCCGAGCTCATAGAATTGACCTCATAGGTTTCTAACTTTCTATATAATACGAAAATAAGAAACCTAACACTAGCTAGTAGAGCAACTAGTTAAAATTTTATTTAACTTTAAAAATATTTCTTGATAAGCTTATGGCTGGACTACAGAGTCCAGTTAGCATAATTAATAAAAAATAAATACAACTAGGTCTGTCACGATCCAATTTCACTGATAGGTGTGATGGCGCCCAACACTACAGTTAGGCAAGCCAACTAGTAATTTAAACCCATATTCAATTGTTTTAAAATTAACCGAGTAATTAAACTCTTCTTAATTTCAGGAATTTAAAACAATATGAAAAGATTCTAGTAAATAATAAAAAATTAATCAAGTCCAAAATTTCTACTAGTGTGTGTGCCAAGACCTGGTGTCACAAGTGTATGAGCATCTAGTAGATTATACAAAAAAATCTCAAACACTATCTGAAATAAAATAGACATAATACAAATACAAGAAGAGGCACTGGTAGCTGTAGAACGGCTCAGAAAGGCAGCTCACCACCACGCCTCTGGATAACGTGGATGTGCGATGATAGATCCTGCACAAAAAGTGCATCAAGTGTAGCATGAGTACGTAATCAACGTGTACCCAGTAAGTATCAAGTCTAATCTCGAAGTGGTAGAGATGTGATGACCGACTTTGACACTCACTAAGGGTCAATAATAATAATTGAAATAAAAATAAAATATCTAAATCAACATGATTCACATAGTTAACAACAAAATTATTTAACCAAACAAAAATAATTAAATTCCTTCAAATGCAATAATTTCCAATCTATTAATTAAATTCATAAGCTGCAATTAAGATATTAAGGTATCATGTAATTATTATTATTAGGCACGATTTCTGCCGAGGTCATACGAACCGATCCAGAGTATCGTGTACACTGTCGAGGGACGTGCGACGCGATCCATAGATGCATCTATATTGCCGAGGCGTTCGACCCGCTCTACAAGAAAGGAGGACATTTTCTTATGTACCTCCGGAATGAGAGTATATTTATTATAAGATTATTTCGAGAGGATGAATAATTTATTTTAATAATTAAATTAATTTAAACAGAAAATTAAGTATATAAGATTTTCATCTTTTACTATCTTCCCTAACAATTCACAATATATATCAAATAATTTAATTAAATAAAGAATACAATTTACACAAGTAATTCATAGTTTGAGTCCTAAACTACCCGGACTTTTTAGCATAAATAGTAGCTACACACGGACTCTCGTCACCTCGTGCGTACGTAGCCTCCACAATTAGCAACAATTATTAAATGTAATCACCTATGAGGTAATTTCCCCCCCACAAGATTAGACAAGAGACTTACCTCAACTTGCTCCAATTTAATCTACTAGTAGGCCTTTTTCTCGATTATCCAATTCTGTATGGCTCGAATCTAGCCAAAATAATTCGATACAATCACTAAAAATTATAGGAATCAATTTCATAAGAAAATACTATATTTTTCAATAAAAAATCCGAAATTAATTCAAAAATCATCCACGGGGCCCACATCTCGGAATCCGACAAAATTTACGAAATATGAACGCCCACTCAACCACGAGTCTACCCATACCAAAATTACTAAATTCCGATAATAATTAGGCCCTCAAATCCTCAAATCTATCCAAGAGGGTTTTCAAACTTTTCCAACTTAATTTATCAATTAAATGATTAAAAACAATGATGAATTTGGGTAATTTAACAAATATTGAGTTAAGAACACTTACCTCATTATTTTCTCCGAACATCTCCAAAATTTCGCCTCAATCCGAGCTCCAAATCGGTAAAAATGGAAAATGGGATGAAGTCCCATTTTCAGAAACTTAAACTCTCTGCCCAGTGATTTTTTCTACGCGATCGCAAACTTCGTCACGCGATCTTGTAGCACAAATGTTTACTGACCAAAAATAACCCTATGCGATCGCAAACAATGCTACGCGATCGTGATGTACAATATTTCAACTCTAAGCGATCACATCCCTCTTCATGCGATCACGTAGCACAAACGCGTGGCCCAGCTTTCTCTCAAGTTTCCCCTACACGATCGCAAACAACGCCACGCGATCGCGATGCACAGACTGGCCCAACCTACGGGATCGCGGACTTGCCCACGCGATCGCATAGAACAAATTTCCAGTTGCCCAATTAAGCCTACGCGATCGCAATCCAATTCACGCGATCGCATAGAACAAAGTCATCTCTGCCCAAATTACTCTACACAATCGCATACGAACTTATGCGATCGCGTATAAGGAAATTAGAAGATAATACCAGCAACTATCAGCAATCTCCCAAAGGCCAAAAATTATCCGTTAGGCATCCGAAACTTACCCGAGCCCCTCGAGACCTCAACCAAATACCAACAAGTCCTAAAATATCATACGAACTTAGTCGAAACATTAAATCACATCAAACAACGCTAAAACCACGAATCATACTTCAATTTAAGCTTAATGAAATTTAAAATTTCCAACTTCTACATTCGGTGTCTAAACCTATCAAATCAAGTCCGATTGACCTCAAATTTTGCACACAAGTCATAAATGACATAACGGAGCTATGAAAATTTTCGGAACTGGATTACGACCCCGATATCAAAAAGTCAATTCCCCGGTCAAACTTCCAAACTTAAATTCTTGTTTTAGCCATTTCAAGCCTAATTTAATTACGGACTTTCAAATAAAATTTCAAATATGTTCCTATTCCAAAATCACCATACGGAGCTATTGGAACCGTCAAATATCGATTCCGGAGTCGTTTTCTCAAAATGTTGACCGAAGTCAAACTTAGCATTTTAAGGCCAACTTAAGGAACCAAGTGTTCCGATTTCAACCCGAATACTTGCAAATTCCGAACCAACCATCCTCGCAAGTCATAAATTAATAAAAGCACATACATGGAATTTTATTTAGGGGAGCATGCTTCTAAAAGTCAAAATGACTGGTTGGATCATTACAAGATACTTGCCCTGTGTAATCGTTTTTGCATATATAAACTTCTTCTATATTATTGTATAGCATATTAAGTCGAAATTTTTGCAAATTACAAAAAAATGCGTGACCAATCAGAACCATTACTAAAGCCAAAAAGAGCAATAACACTTGATGAAACAATAGAAAGTTGCATAGGAGAATTTGGATGGGCACAATTCTTACAATCCATTGTCATATCTCTATCATGGGTTTTCGATGCTCAGCAAACATTCATTAGTATCTTTACCGACACGTTGGCCGTTTCTGAATGGTCGTTAATAGGTGCGAGTTCAATTCTCACTTGCCTTCCGGCGTCTTCGTTTTTCATAGGTTGTCTTATCGGAGGTTTCCTTCTTTCTACCTTAGCTGACACAAAACTTGGTCGAAAAAACATGTTGGTTTTATCATGTTTTAGTATGTCTATTACCGGAGCCATAGCATCAATTTCTACAAATATTTGGATGTATTCATTTTTAAGGTTTTTAACTGGTTTTGGAGGAGCTGCAATAGGAACTTGTGCACTTGTTTTGTCAACGGAATTAGTGGGAAGTCAATGGCGTGGACAAGTTGGAATTATTGGTTTTTATTGTTTTACTATTGGATTTCTTTCTTTACCACTTATAGCTTTTGTGAATAGAGATTCTACTTGGAGAGTTTTATACCTTTGGACTTGTCTTCCTACAATCTTTTACTCAATATTGGTTCATTTCTTTGTTCGTGAATCACCAAGATGGCTTTACGTACGAGGAAACAAAGAAGAATTTGTCCTAACTTTGAAAATCCTAACAGCAAGAAGTAGCTTTAACTTTAAGCTTCTTTGGCCCCTTCATTGATTTTGAAGATCAAGAACACAATGTAAGTTAATTACTTCTCATTAATGTGGCCTACATTTACTCAAAGTAGTTTGAAAGGGAGTCTTGGAAAGTTAATTACTTCTCATTAAAGTGGCCTACATTTACTCAAAGTAGTTTGAAAGGGAGTCTTGGAAAGTTAATTACTTCTGATTAAAGGTCACGGGTTCGAGCCGTGGAAGCAACCACTAATGTTTGCATTAGGGTATACTGTCTACCTCATACCTTAAGGTACGACCCTTCCCCGGACCTTGCGCGAACGCGAGATGTCTTGTGCATCGGGTTCCCCTTTTCAATTTAATTTCCGTATTATTTTCTTCTTTAATGAAAAGAAATGAGTTTACATTTTTTTTTTGAAAATTATATCTTAAAGTAAAGATAACTTATATATGTTGCACTTAATGTCCATTAGTTTCCCAGAAAAAGGTGTCTATTTGGTCACTAGTATAGTTAAGTTGTCTAAAAAAATTATGATGCCAATTTTGAGTGCCCATCTATGTATTTCGCCTTCAAAAAAGCTTCGGTAGGTTTCTATGATAAGCAATTTTATAAAACTACACCAATCTAAAATGAGAAGGGAAGCTTTTGCGCAATGGTAAAGTTGTCTTCGTACAACTCTATAGATCACGAGTTCGAGTAGTGGAAGCAACCACTAATGCTTGTATTAGGGTAGACTGTTTACATCACACCCCTTGGGGTGCGACCGTTTCTCGGATCTTGCGTGAACACGGAATGCTTTGTGAACCGAGCTTCTTTTAAAATAAAATAAAAATCTAAAATGAGTTGCTAAAGCGTAGAAGTACCTCTATGTGTACACGGAGTAAACAAGTCCAAATGTCTGATTTATTCAGCATTTTTTTATTTGCATGTTATTTTATGCTTTATTTTATTCATAAAGCATGTCTGATTTGTGTAAATGTCTTTGGAACTTCTAATGCAGAACTCAGAGTCAAAAATCAGTCTGTACTCGGCTATCATGATGTTGGTATAATAGAGTTGGGTTTTCAAGAGACTAATATCAGTTATGCATATTGGTTTTGATGTTGGATTGGTTTACTATGGGATGCCACTAGGAGTTGGAAATTTACCTTTTAATCTATATTTTAGTGTCACATTGAATGCATTATCAGAATTGCCAGCTTCTATGGTAGCATTCTTTCTTATTGGCAAACTAACAAGAAAAAAATCATTTTTGGGATTTGCTATATTAAGTGGAATTTGCAGCATAGGTTGTGCAATAGTTAAAGATGATTCTTTTAAAGAATTACAAATGGGGTTTGAATTGGTTTCTTTTGTCAGTGCATGTACATCTTTTGATGTACTATTGATTTACTCTGTGGAATTATTTCCAACTTGTGTGAGGAATTCAGGAGTGTCAATAGTGAGACAAGCATTGGTTCTCGGGGGTGCATTTAATCCTATTTTGGTTGCTTTTGGGAGAAATAATAGATGGTTTTCTTATGGAGTTTTTGGAATGAGTATTGGAATTTGTGGGTTATTTGTGCTGTGTTTACCAGAAACTAAAGGCAGAACATTGAGTGATACTATGGATGCAGTGGAGTACAAGGAAAGAATATTTGTTTGCTAATGATTATTGTAGCAGTACTTTTTCATCCTTAACTAGAGGTTTCAGGTTCGAACTCCAGGTATGAAGTTACTTTTGTTAGGGAAGCTTTACCCCCAATGTGGGACTTCCCATCGCGAATTCAAATTTAGTCCGTCTCCATTGCGGGGGACGACAGGTGGAAAACCAAAAAAGGATTATTGTAGTAGACATTTGTCAATAAAAGATTATACCTTCTCAAAATATGACACTGTTGGTTTTTCTATTTATAGAGTTTTGGTGGTTTTGGAAGGTGGAGTGCAGTTGTAATGAAAAAATATCAATCAAGACACTTTTATTCCTATATTTTAATCTATTGAAGGAAGAAGCACGTGAGAGGCATGTGGGTCTGTTAGTTAGTTATAATTAATTTACGGAATTGGTAGTTAGTGTACATCTTCTTCTTAGCTTCTTAAATGAGTAGTGTAGCAGTTGATATAGATGTGTATATATATAGGAGGTTAGCCTTGTAATCAGTTAAACTTTTCATAATGAGAATTCTGTTTTTTCTCTCATCCATAGATTGAGAGCAATTTTCCAGAACCTTCGATTCCGCCATTGGAGGTCAAGCTTGAGCTCAACTCTGATCTTTATTATGGTATCAGAGCAAGAGATCTAGATAGCAGTAAGCTGATGATATTAATTCCAGTTGCTGCAAATTTTCGTTTATCTGGAGATCAACTACATTTCTCGTTCGAGCTAGGATTCGATATTTTCTGCAATTAATTTTTCCTTCTTCTCCTGTTCTCGAATTGAATTGTCTGCAAAGTTCAGAATCTAAGTGAAGAACTAGCAACTTGATCAATTATCGATGTCCATGGCAATTGACGAACAAACTCCTTCTGGAAGCAGTACGAGGATCACCATTGATCATCATCATCCCCTATTCCTACAACCATGTGATACACCAGGTAGCTCGTTAATCTCTATTCAACTCACTGACACCGAGAATTATGCACTGTGGATTAGATCGATGAAAAATTGAATTAATTGGTAAAAACAAATTAGGTTTTGTGGATAGGAGATGCACAAAAGATAAATTTGATAGATCCTTACATGAATTATGGGAGAAATACAATGCTATAGTGTTATCTTGGATCATGAATGTTGTGAGTAAAGAGCTGCTTAGTGGAATCATGTACAAGTCTAGTGCACACAAAGTCTGGACAGATCTGAAGGATAAGTATGATAAGGTTGATGGATCTAAGATTTTTTATCTGCACAAAAAAATAGCTACACTGTCCCAAGGGATCTCTTAAGTAATAGGAAATTACTAAGCAAAGTAAATAGTAATAGCACTCATATAGATACAAAGGTGTACTTACCAAATGGAAAATCTTTGGACATAGCTTGCACAGGTGAATGAAGAATTGGTGAAGAAGAAACCATTAAAAATGTGTTGTATGTACCAGGTTTCAAATACAAATTGTTATCAGTTTCAACAATGACAAAAGACCTAAGGTGCTTTGTGTCCTTTTATCCTGATTTTTGGATAATGTAGAACCTTCACACTCGAGAGGTGAAGCGGATTGGTAAGGAGCTGGAAGGACTGTATAATCTGCACCAGAAGAGAATTAAGGCAAATGCTGCAGATGTACAAGTAGAAGATGGTCATGGGAACTAAGAGGATTTGGAGATTTGGCATGGCAGACTTGGGCATGCTCCTGATAGAGTGGTGAAACAGTTCCAAACATGAGTTTTAAGACAAGTAGTAATAGAATAAATGAATGTACAATCTGTCCTCTAGCTAGACAAGGTAGATTGCCATTCCCTAAGAGCTTATCCAGTACTGATAAGCCTTTTCATTTGATACATGTTGATGTGTGTGGTCCTTATAGAATACCTACTCATGATGGTTTTAGATTCTTCCTTACTAGCGTTGATGATTGTAGTAGGATGGTTTGGATTTACTTACTTAGACTCAAAAGTGATGTGATTGTATGTTTGAGACAGTTCCTTGTTCTAATAAAGACACAATTTGATGCTTTAGTTAAGACTTTGAGAAGTGATAATGACACTGATTTCTTTAACTCTGGGTGCAAAAGTCTCTTTCAATCCATTGGTATAGTCCACCAGAGTTCATGTGTGCACACCCCACAATAAAATGAGGTGTTTGAAAGAAAACACAGACACATCCTAGAGGTGGCTAGAGCAATAAGACATCAAGGTCATCTACCCTTGATGTTTTGGGGAGAGTGTGTTTATGCTGCTGTTTATGTAATCAACAAACTTCCTCTATCAGTGTTGAGAGGAAGGTCTTCATTTGAGATCCTATATAGAAGACCACCATCATTGAAACACATGAGGATCATAGGCTGTCTATGTTTTGCCAGCAAAATAGGAGGAGGTGATAAGTTTGCAGCTAGATCCACAACAACCGTTTTAATGGGATATTCCTCCACACAGAAAGGATATATACTCTATAATATTTTAACTAACCAAAGTTTTATTAGCAGGGATGTTACATTCATGGAGCACATATTTCCTTTACAGTTACTGAAAGAAAGAAGACTACAGGTTTATCCCAATGGTGTGATATCACACACTGATCTCCCCCCAAGAGTAGAGATATCACTTGAGGAGCCAACACAAGCTGCAACAACACCAGAAGAAGTGATTTCATCCCCTACAATTTCACCATCAGTAGACTCATAACAACATTTAGATGGAGAGAATTTAATTTCTCAACAAGTACCATCACTTGATGCACATGCCAGTAATCAAGATCATTCAGTCTTCCCTTTACCAGACTCTAGGCCTACCAGAGGAGAAGAGAAACTAAGAAAATCAACAAGAACAGTGAAAGAACCTATATGGATGCAGGATTATGTATGGAGAGGCACCTCCACAAAGCATTCAGCAAAGGCAGCCTGTAGATACCCTTTGGAAGAGTACCTTAATCATAAAGCTCTCTCAGCCATCTATCAGACTTATCTGTCCAAATTCACTACCAACAAAGAACCTCGCAGTTATGAGGAAGTAATGACAAACCCCAGGTGGATAGAAGCAATGGATCAAGAGCTAAATGCACTTAAAGAAAATGACACTTGGTCACTAGTAGATCTGCCAAAAGGCAAGGTACCTATTGGATGCAAATGGGCGTTCAAGATAAAGTACAAAGAAAATGGTGAGATAGAAAGATTCAAGGCAAGGCTAGTGGCAAAAGGATACAACCAGATAGAGCGACTAGATTACCAAGAAACCTTTTCTCCAGTGGTTAAAATGATAACAGTTAGAGTTGTTCTAGCATTGGCTGCAACACACAACTGGAATCTGCATCAAATGGACGTTTACAATGCGTTTCTCCAAGGGGATTTGACTGAGGAGGTATACATGTGCTTACCACAGGGATTTCCTAGATAGGGGGAGAAAGTATATAGGCTGAAAACATCCCTGTATGGCTTGAAACAAGCTTCACGACAATGGAACCTGAAGCTGATTGAATCACTTATCAACTTAGGCTTCACACATAGCCACTTTGATTACTCATTATTTACAAAAAAAAGGGCACAGGAATGGTAATCATTTTAGTGTATGTAGATTATCTTATTATCACTGGGAATGATCAAAATATGATTTCAGAGGCAAAATACATACTGCAACATAGCTTCAAAATCAAGGACCTGGGAGAATTGAGGTTCTTTCCTGGGATTGAGATAGCAAGATCAAAGCAGGGAATTTTGATGAATCAAAGGAAGTTTGCACTAGAGTTGATTAGTGAGCTTGGATTGACAGGATCAAAGCTCGTAAGCACACCAATGGAGTGCAACCAGAGATTCACTACAACTGAATATGACAAGCAAAACAACTATGAAGGTGATGAGAAGCTAGGAGATGCAGGACCTTATCAAAGATTGGTAGGGAAACTTTTGTATCTCACAATGACAAGGCCAGACATATGTTATGCAGTACATGTGCTCAGTCAATTTATGCATTGTCCCAAAATATCACACATGGATGCAACAGTTAGAGTAGTCAAATACATAGAGGGTGCTCCAAGATAAGGACTGCTGAGCTCAAATCAGTCGACCAAACTTACTGCATTCTGTGACGCAGATTGGGCATCTTGTCCAGTCTCCAGGAGATCAGTAACGAGATATGTAATGAAGCTAGGGGACTCCTTGGTGTCATGAAAGTCAAAGAAGCAGTGCACAATATCACGAAGTTTAACAAAAGCTGAGTATAGAAGTATGACAGTTGGGGTCTCAGAAATTCTGTGGCTAACTGGGCTTTGCAGAGAATTGGGTGCAGAAATTAGTTTACCAGTCGAGCTGAATTGCGATTGCAAAGCAGCAATTCAAATTACTGAAAATCCCATATTCCATGAGCGAACAAAACATATAGAGATAGACCTGCATTTTATCAGAGAAATAATACAACAAGGAATCGTAAAGACAAGATATGTGATGTCAAAGGATTAAGAGGCAGACTTGTTTACCAAGGCTCTAGGCAGATCACAACATGTGTATCTGATGAACAAGCTAGGTATGTTCAACATTTTCACACCATCTAGCTTGAAGGGGAGTATTGAAGGAAGAAGCACGTGGGAGGCATGTGATCTGTTAGTTAGTTATAACTAATTTACGGAATTGGTAGTTAGTGTACATCTTCTTCTTAGCTTCTTAAATGAGTAGTGTAGCAGTTGATATATATATATATATATATATATATATATGTTAGTCTTGTAATCAGTTAAGCTTTTCATAATGAGAATTCTATTTTTTCTCTCATCCATAGATTGAGAGCTATTTTCCAGAACCTTCGATTCCGCCATTGGAGGTCAAGCTTGAGCTCAACTCTGATATTCATTATAATCCATTCGTAACATTTTATGTGAAGATGTTTGATTGGACACAAAATAAAATTAAAGAAGACTACATACAAAGTATCAATATTATCCTTTTAAATGAATCATGATGAAGGTTAATTATACACGTCTTTTCATTTTCTCGCTTCCTATTTGTATCAAGTGACTAGTGAATTTACCGCGCTATTTGTTGAACGTCACTTTACCTTCAGAAAGAAAGACCAATCAGTATTCGTGTGCAAATATCTTAAATTTTGATTCTATTATTTTATATTTTGATAATGTTCACAGAAATGCTTTGACATATAATTTGAGAGATAATTTTGATGGAGTGAGGATAAGAACAAATGCTTGTCAATTTTCTATGTATAAATTCTTTAAATAAGAGCGAGAATATATTTAACGTCTATACACCACATAATTGTTCGGCGAAGGGTGTGTATTAGACCACCCTTCACCTAAGATGGCTCCGCCATGGTGACCACAAATCAACGAAGTGAGATGAAAATCAGAGCAAAATACCGTTTAAAATCCAACAAAAATTAAAATTACTAGATGATTTTTACCATGTGTGGAGCTATATGTAATAACCCGGAATACTTTTAAATACTTATTAATTGTGAAATTGGATAATTAATCTTATTTATACTTATTGTGTCAAATACTTGTCAAATTTATCAATGAACGAGAGTGAAATTGGTAGAGTAATAGAGAGAAGAAGAACTAAAGAAAACTTTGAGAGAAATCTAACTGATTCTAATTTCTTCTGCTTGCTTCAGTAATGAGGTGTACCTCATATATATATACACATATCAGCTAACTAACTCCTCTAACTAACTAAGCTTACTTTTAACATAAATAACCAACTCATTAGATAATTAACTGACTGCTACACGTCAGCTTGCTATGCTCTCAACACTCCACCTCAAGCTGATGCTTTGAATATATTTTCAACTCCTAGTTGATTCAACAAGACTTCATGTTGTGCTTTCCCAATGCTCTTAGTCAGCAAATCTGCCAGCTGATCCTTTGTTGAGAGATGATGAGTTGTAATTACTTCCTGGATCAGTTTTTCTCTCATAAAGTGACAATCGATGTCTATGTGTTTGGTTCGTTTATGAAATATAGGATTTGCTGCTATTTGGATAGCAGCTTTGCTGTCATAGAACAGATCAACAAGCTGATGCAATTCAATTCCAAGTTCTCTGAACAAACCTATTAGCCATGTGACTTCAGCTACACATGATGCCATGCTTCTGAATTCATCTTCAGCTAAACTTCTGGCCATAGTTTCTTATTTCTTTGACTTCCATGATGCCAAGGCCTCTCCAAATTTTACAAGATAACCTGTGACAAATCTTCTGGTATGTAGACAAGAGCCCCAATCAGAGTCACATAATGCTTGTATATGTTTAGTTTTTGTTGATGGAATTAGGAGTCCTAGAGCTGGTGATGCTTTCAGGTATCTAATAATCCTTAGAGCAGCTTCCATGTGTGATTGTTTTAGGGCATGCATATACTGACTTAGCACCTGTACTCGAAATGAGATATCTGGCCTAGTCATGGTCAAATACGAAGTCTCCCTACAAGCCTTTGATATTCTCCAGCATCATTTAGTATAGGATCTTCATGACCTGCACCTTTGTTGAATGTTCTATCATACTCGATTGAAGTAAGTTTTTGATTGCACTCCAAAGGAATACCAACTATCTTTGCTCCTCCTAGGCCAAGTTAGAGATCAACTCTAAAGAATACTTCCGTTGACACATATGTATTCCTCTGTTTGACCTGGCAAATTCAATGCCTAAAAAGAATTTTAGTTCCCATAGGTCTTTCATCTTGAACCTTTCTGAAGGTCTTCCCTGGTTTTGACTAGGGATGTTCATTTGGATCGGATATCCGAAATCCGAACCGATACGCTCAATTTCGGATTTTGGATTTAAGATTTCGGATATTTGGATCAAATTTCGGATTGTGTTTATTAAAATTTTAGATATTCGGATCGATTCGGATTGGTATAATTGTAATCCGATCCGATTTGAAATCCAAAATTATTAGGGCATGTATAAATATTACTCCATCCGTTCCAATTTATGTGAACCTGTTTGACTGAACACGGAGTTTAAGAAAAAATGAAGATTTTTGTAATTTGTGGTCCTAAATAAGTCAAAATAGGTCCCAAAATATTTGTGTGGTTATAAAAGCTTCTCATTAAGGGTAGAATCGTAAGTTTAAGTAAAAATATTTCCAAATTTAGAAAGGGGTCATTCTTTTTGGAATGGACCAAAAAGGAAATAGGTTCACATAAATTGGAACAGAAGGAGTAAACTTTAATTTCGGATAGTCAGTACTTCCTTTACATCTTCCTCCAAGTTATTACCTTTACAATTGCTGAATTTAGTTATATTGACACCATAGTACTCTCATAATTGCAAAAACATAAATTTTTCTTACTTTATTGCCTCTTTTACAAAGAAAATATACATATGAGTTTGCAACTTTAAGGCATAATAATCCGATCCGAAATTCAAAAATTCGATCCGATCCAAACTTTAAAATTCAATCCGGTCCGATATTAATTCGGATCGGATTCAGATTTCATTTGTAGAATCTGAAATCCGAATCTGAAATATGCTAAATATGATCCGATCCGATCCATGCACAGTCGTAGTTTTGACCAACAGATCATTGTTGCTTCATGTAATGATCAAATCATCCACATATATTAGGATCACAACTATGTCACCTCCTTGCTTATGTGTCAAAACTGAGTAGTCAAAGTGGCTTTGAACAAAGCCAAGTTGTTGCAGAGTTTCAGTCAACTTGAGATTCCACTGTCTTGGTGCTCGTTTCAAACCATACAGTGATTTTTGTAGTTTGCAGACTTGTTTGGTCTCCCCTTGTTTAGTCAACCCATATGGAATAGTTATGTAAACCTCTTCTAATAGATCTCCTTGCAAGAAAGCATTGTGAACATCCATTTGATAGATGAATCAATATCTTGAAGCTGACACAATCACCACTGATCTAACAATAACCATTTTAGCTATTGGTGAAAAAGTTTCTTTGTAGTCCAATCCTTCTTGTTGGTTATAATCTTTAGCCACCAATCGTTCCTTATACCTCTCCACTCCCCCTGATGATTTATATTTAATCTTGAACACCCATTTGCACCCAATGGGAGTCTTTCCCTTAGGGAGGTCCACAATGCTCCAGGTGTTGTTTTCTTCTAGTGCTGCAATCTCCAATTTTATGGCTTCAATCCACTTTGGATCTGTAGCTGCTTCTTTGTAACTGTAGGGCTCCACAATAGATGAATAGGAGTTTAAGGCAGCCTTATAAGATGGAGTTAGATGTTCATAATAGACATAAGATGATAGAGGATAGGCACAGTTGGATTTTTTGGTAGTGACAAAATCCTGCATCCACAAAGGTTATTTTACAGTTCTTGAGGATTTTCTAAGAGTTTCAGGTTATTGCTGCTCAGTGATAGGTAATGAACTGATTATTCATCAGTAATGAACTGATTATTCAGGTTGTTGCTGCTCAGTGATAGGTAATGAACTGATTATTCATCAGTTATTGTGCTATTAGGTGGAACTGGGCATATAAAATGATCCACAGATGTGGAAGGGATTGAAGATGAAGGGCTTTCTATGACTAAGTCTTCTTGAGTGGGTGAAGGAATTGTTATGTTGCTAGTTATTGTGTTTGGCAAAGTTTATGGTAGATGAAGTGCAAGTTCTAGTACTGGAAACAAAGGTAGAGTAGAGGGTGTGAAGTGTTTGAATAGAAACAAGTCTTCTCTGAAGACTACATTTCTACTTACCAAGAATGATCTAGCATGTAGGTCATAGAGTTTGTACCCCTTTTGAGTGGAAGAGTATCCCATTAATGCAGCAGAAATGGCTCTAGGTGACATTTTATCAGTAATATTAGGGTTTGATACATAGGCAAGACAACCAAAGGTTCACAAATGGTCAAGGTTAAGAGGATGTGAATGCAATATTTCAAAAGAGGATTTATACTGTAAGATAGCAGAGGGTAACCTATTGAGTAGATAGACAACTATATCAACACATTCTCCCAAGAACTTCAAAGGCACAACTCCTTGAAACCTTAAGGACCTCGCTATATTTAAAATTGATCTGTACTTCCTCTCTACTACACTGTTCTGCTGAGGTGTATAGACACATG